AAAAAAAAACTGAAAAAAGTGAATTTTGTATATTTGGTCCCCTTTAAGTGACATCCCATTCCTAATCCATAGGGTTCAATATGGCGTTGATCCACCCTTTGCWGCTAGAACAGCTTCAACTCTTCTGGGAAGGCTGTCCACAAGGTTTAGTGTGTTTATGGGGATTTTTGACCATTCTTCTAGAAACACATTTGTGAGGTCACATATTGATGTTGGACAGAAGGCCTGGCTCTCAGTCTTCACTCTAATTCATCCCAAAGRTGTTCTATCAAGTTCAGRTCAGGACTCTGTGCAGGTCAGTCAAGTTCATCCACACCAGACTCTGCCATCCATGTCTTGCTTTGTGCACTGGTGCACAGTCATTTGGATGGGCGAGCAAATACTTTTGGTAATATAGTGTGTGGAAGTTCTATGGTCTGCATGAAGACGATGCACCGGATTAATGTTTAATAAAAAGTTGTACTTTAGACACAAAAACCCCAGGCAGGTCAGGGCTCGGTTCAGGAGGAGGGGTGGAGGTAACAGTGTACTGTTCAGGTCTCTCCTTGGCTGCAGTGAACTGGTCATGTGCGAACACCTTACTTAGACGGTTAATAATTTATTATGTGACTGGGGCAGTTTTGTTAGTATAGTGGGTCGAAGTGTCCTCCTTGGAAAAAAAGTCAGAGAAAAGCAGATTACTTCACCTGCAATCTGACTCTGCTCACAGACAGCAGGACCTGCCCTGTTCTGCTCTGATTGGCTAAAACTGTGACTCTGGTTCTCTTTATTGGTTGAAAGCAGTGTCAGATAAATCCCTGAATCAACGACGGATTGAAAATCACAACAACACGTTCTTTGTGGTGGTAGATGAGAGTCATCCTCAACACATGCTGAGCGTCACATCTTGTAATATCGAATGAGATTATGCAAAAGTTTATGCTRCAATGCCCTTGTTTCTTAACACAAGATGAGATCTAAAACATTAACATTAAATGAGGTGGGAGATATGAATTCATTTAAGAAATGCTAACGCTAATATCAGATAAGATCTAACTTCTGAAAAAAGCACAGAAGAATAAGCTCTCACCCAGAGAATGTGGTTGGCATGAGTGGGGAGGAGCTGGCCCAGAGTTTTCACCGTGTGACACCGAGCTCTGATGAGAGTCACCGCCTGTCCCATTTCCACTGCCACATGACATACCGCCAGCATCTGAATCCTCAATGTTCCCTCCACTGTTACAGCCAGCACCGCAGCCCTTCCGTAGCCTGTGACAAAATACGACTGACTTCAATCATTTTAGACATTTTACCAGTTTTAGTGATATTTATTCTACCAGCTGAAATCCAAACCGGTGCCAGGTGTTGACAACGAAGTTGCGAATGTTTACGATGCTGATGGGTCCTCCCAGGATGTGTTTGAGTTGCGGGTGCGAGTTGCAGTAGGAGGTGGTCAGCGGAGACACGTAGATTGGATATCCGATTGGCTGGTCACAAGAAGAATTGATCATGTTGCGCAGAGCCTGCTTGGCATTCTGGATGCTTCCGCGTTCCGGGTTTCTGTTTCTCAGGAACACCAGCTCCTGCTGCTGGCCTGCCCATAGGCCTCGAACACATTCTTTATTTACCTGTAGAACAAGTGATTATGTGTGGATCAGGGCTATTCAACTGGTGGAGTGACCAAAGTTTGGCCCGCCAATTGGTTCATTCATCTCTTAAGCCCAAACCCCCGATTTTCTACTTTAATTCCTCTAAGTTCATGTATGGTATCCATCAAAACGTCAGAATCTTGGCTAGAAGCTAGTATAAACCTCCTATGCACACTCAAAACAGTTAAAATTGAATGTAAAACAGTTCAAGCTAAAACTATGAAAGTGMAAATAAAACTGGTTTAAAAATTTGGCAAGTCTGAGATATAAAAATATTTGTGTCAAATAGAAGGCATAATGGGCCTCATGCAAGAACATGTTCGTATTCTTATCCTAAATTTCTCTTACTTTTGTTCATACAAAGGGTTCGTACGAACATGTCACGTCAGATTCAACAAACTCTTCTATCTTCAGGAAAAGTGTGTAAATGAGCTGCGTAAATTCACCTGTTCTATCCAGCTGCTCGTGCACGTGAGAGGAGATTAGCATAATCAAAGTATTTCTACAACTATGTACAACAGGTAAGATATTACTGGATCATAATCCCTCCACAGAATCCATTATTGTTTTAATGTCTTAAAGGTGATTCATCTGTTAACGGTTATTTGTCATCTCTGTCAGCAGAGCTGCAGCTGCAGTCGGCAGCAAACTTCTCAGAGCACAGAAACAAGACAATCCTCTGTGTGTGTGTGTGTGTGTGTGTGTGTGTGTGTGTGTGTGTGTGTGTGTGTGTGTG